CGAGAACCGGGGCGGCCCGGCACCCCTGCTTATCCCAGCCTCTAAAACGGTACCCGCTCACTCCGTGCCAGCCGCTAACACTGAGCGCTTGAGGGTCTAATCTTTTTAATCTTCTGTCCCCAAGAGTCAGACAACGTTCTCTTTCCCCAGCGACCTAAATGCAAGTCCTGGGCCTCCCCGAAACTCACCATATGACTTTGGCAAGTCATTTAACTTCTCTGGGCCTCAGTTTCCTCGCCTGTAATAAGGACAGAAGTCCCGATTCTGCTTGATTTCTACCCCTGGAACGGTGTGAAAATCCTACGAGATATTGCCTAGAAATGTTCCGTCAACGGGCCATGGCTCACGTATCACCGAGGCTAACAACGTGGACTCAGGCTTCCTCGGTTCAAACTGCGGCCCTCCCTTCTTCCCGGGAGACCAAGGGCGAGGCGCACAACTCTGAGCCTAACTCCAGCTGCAAAATTGGGAAACGGTGCCGACCCCGCAGGTGTGCTACGAGACATCCTGTGATAAAAGGGAAGAGCCCTCACTCCGCGTGAGTTGGGACAGTGCTGGCGGCCTCTGTCCCGGGGCTCCAGGTCACCTCCGCCCTCTCCTCGGTCCCACTGCAGCTGGCTCAAGAGCATTCCCATTACCGGCCCCCTAGGCCTGGTGATACGTGTAGACTCCTGACAAACAGAGCCCTTAAAATGTGGGACTTTCATCCTTTGAGTTAAAAGACACAAAAAGGGGAATGGCTTTTTGAATAGATTCCAGGATGAATTCCAAGATGCTTAGATGGGAAAATGGGAAAGGATGCTCACGTGCATGCCAGGCTCTGGCTAAGGACTGACTTGAATTTTTTCATCGAATCCTGAGACTAATCCATCAGGAAAACCCCTTACTCGGGGTTTTGCTTTCCGTGGTTTCAGTTACACACGGTCAGCCGCGGTCCAGGACCAGATGACCTTCCGTGTCCCGTGTGGTCAGGTCCGGAGTAACCTCACGCCTCCGTCATTCACCCCCCTCTGCTCAGCACGTAGGCCTTTCTCATCTCTCGTCCTCACAAGAAGGGTGTGGTAGAGGAAGATATTTTGAGAGACCACGCTGATAGAACTTTTATTACACTGTATTGTTAAACTTTTATTGTTATTGTTGTTAATCTCTTACTGTGCCTAATTTATAAATTAAACTTTACCACAGGGATGTCTGTGATAGAACAAAACCTAGTATATTAGGGTTCTGTATTAACCGCAGTTTCAGACATCTGCTTGAGGGTCCTGGAACGTACCCCCCACGGGGGGTGGGGACTACTGTATACACCTGTACAGGCCACAGAGGGATAAGCATCATGTTACAAATGAGGAAACAGGCTCTGAGAGGTTAAGTAACTTGTCCAGGAGCACCAGCCAGGAAGCGGTGCTTGGGAGTTCTAGAACCCTGCCTTTCCAGTGCTCCAGAGCTGGCATCAGGGTGTCTCCTGGGTCAGGAGTGCTCTGACTTTACACGGAAGCTCTAGGATAATTAGTAAAAATTTTTAAAAATCCGAAAAGACCAAAAGCCCACTGAATACCTCACCTTGATTCGACCAATGTTGTCACCAGATAACTCTTGAATATGCTTGAGGCTGTGGGTGAGGCCAGAGGGGCTGAAAAACGTGATGCTCGCTGGGATGCCCTGCAGGGAGGAAAGATCAGCCTGTTGTCGTAGGCCAAGGGGAGAGAATGTTCCCCTAGTGCCGTAGCTGGGCCCTCGGGCCACATGAGGCAGACCCGAGGATCCACAGCAGGAGGGTCCCTGGGGGACGTGGCCTTCTCTGCTCCCTGGAGGCCGAGTTCACGGGAGGCCTGTGTAGAGAGCAGGGTGCCACTGGGGAGGCTGGGCGCTGCTCCTCATGGTGCTGCCAGCCAGAGGACAGGGGCACTGTGGACAGTGTGCCTCTGCTCATGTGGCCAAAGTGGCACTGGTCAATAAGGCAGCAGTCCAGCCCGGCTCCCTGTCCGCTCTGCACCCCTTCTGAGGACGCAGAAGACAGGCTAGCCGCGTGGCCTTTCGGTTTGCACCAAGGGGACGTCCAGAACCAAGGCATCTAGAAGCCCGTCCTAGGAGAGGGACGGGAGGTCTTACTGACAACAGGAGTGGAAAACCTCGACTCAAACAGGCGCCGCCCACTCTCCTGTCTGAGGCCTCCAAAGGTCCCTGTGACCTCCCAAATTCAACGTAGACCCCTCCGAGGGCTTTGTGGGCCTTCCCAGTACGGGCTCAGCCTCTGCCCCTATAGCTCTGCCAGCCCCCTGCACGACATCGAGGCCCCCAGCTGCCCAGGCTTACTATGTCTGGGATGCCACGCATATGGCTTCGTGTAAATTATCTCCTTTAATCCTTACAAAAACCTTAGGAGAGCGGTCCGGTCCCATTTCACAGAGGTGGAGATGAAGTCACACTGCTGGGGATGGGGGGACGCGCAGGTGCCCGCCCCGCTGGAGGTCTCCCGGGGAGCACCACGCACCTGCTGAGAATAGTAGCTGTGGAGGTTCACCTGGATTCCCGGGTGTGGGACCTTCTGATAGACGATGATGCTTTCCATGGGAATCCCTGGACACGAGCAGAACCAGGAAATGGGCTTTATTACACGAGGAAGGCAGTGGGGTCCCTGCTCTGCAGGGTAGTCCGTGCAGACGGGACAGCGCAGCACAGCTCTCCTGAACAAGCAGCCGGGAGCTGAGGTGCAGACCGTGCCCGGGTGCCCGGCCGGCCCTCGGCAGCCCGTGATCCTGACCCCGCGGCCTAACGTCCTCTGCCGTTATTCCCGGTAGCGTTCAGGAGACAGAGGACAACACCAAAGACACACGATCTCTGTTTTAACGCAGCGGGGGATCGTTACTGGGTCTAAGATCCTCCTGGGGAATATTCTTTACGTGGGTCACTGGAGATCGAGGACAGAGGGCGGGAAGAGGAGAGCCGCGGCGCCGCGCGTTTCTTGCCTTTGGAGAGCCGGGCCTGGTGCCACCTAGCGTCACAGCGGCCCTGGGCGGCAGGCTCTGTGGTTGTGCTCATTCCGCAGGCGGGGATGTGGACACGTGCACCGCGTGTGACCTGCCCTTGCTCACACAGCTAATGAACAGCAGAGGGAGAGTTCAAACCTGGCTTAGTCTCTCCTGAAGTCTGCACTCCAACCTGCCGATGACCCTCTGCTCTCAGACCCGCCCGTGACAGAAGGTGTGCGGGCCACACCCCCTCTCCCCTGCCCCCCCGCCCCGCTGCCCCAGCACTTGAGTGGCTGGGGCTGACGTGCCGCCGGGGCAGAGGGCTGGTCTCTAGACCGTGACAGTGGAGTGGCAAAGGCTCAGTGACACTCTGTGGGCTCCTGAGGGGCAGCCCGCCACTGCCCCCCACCCCTGCTGCGGCCTCCTCTCCCCAGGGGGCTCTACGGGGCTGACCACAAACACTGACCACGAAGGCTCCCGGTAGACCCGAGGAGGCGGACAAGGGAGGAGGTGACCACGATCCCCAGTGCATTCTCGTCACCTTTGTCCTTGAGCATCTTCGGCAGGATTTCCCCTTTGACGGTTCCACAGGGAAACAGGAGAGGCAATGCCGGTGACTCCCCTGCAGATAAATAACCGGACTTTGTGAACGCTTTTGAGAAGGGGGTGTGTCTGCACAGGGGTGGGGAGGAGCTGCTCCGGGCCACCCGGCATCTGAGTGGGAAGAAGCGCTGACCTTGCCGTAGGAAGATCACAGGAAGTTTGGCTGAGGCGCTCAGAAAACGGGCGTCTCCACAAGCCGGGAGCCACCCCCCCCCCCCAGGCCCCTCTGGCCCCCCGGTGCTGACGAGGTGCCTGAGCAGCAGGCATGAGCTCTGCCTGTCACTGGAGTCAGAAGGCCAGAGGCTGGGTGGTGTCGGCACTGCAGACGCCCCCCAACTCGGGAGGAGCCGTGGAGGTGACAGAGGTGGCTGGAGCCAGGGCTCATGCCCCCGAGGTGGCAGGGTGAGGGCAGCCACCCACGGCCCGGCAAGCACCCCCAAACAGAGACAAGCTGCAGGTCTACTGTCCCCATCAGGACGGCGGCCACCCGGCCAGGGGCCCAAGGGGCTGCTGGGCGGCCATGTAGGGGCCCCGTCTGCTGAGAATGGCCGTGCCTCTCACCTCCGCTCCCCATCTCCGCTCTAGGAAGACCTAAGGGTGTGTTCAGTTCTAAGCTCTCTGCAGAATCGTGAAGATGGCGTGAAATCCAAACACCAACTCGAGGTAATACCAGCCAAGAAACCAATAGGCTGTCACATGTTAGAATCCTCCCCAAATGTGAACATTTTCATAGAACTAACCATTTACCCCCTATATCCATCCATCCATCCAGCCATCAATTGGAAGAAGTTTTAATGGCTGTTCCTTATGCACACTTCTATATCCATAGACCTCCCTGAACACCTCTTTGGAGACTGCAAATACAGGAGGGAGCAAAGCAAGTTCTTTCCATCTAGCACCATCTCCACGAACACCCAGTTAAACAACAGGAATAACTGTAGACCTCTTTTGAGTTATTAAATAACTATATATTGGTGAATGTTTTCTTTGAACTGTTCTGTAAATATCAGCACTGATATAAAAGAACATAAGGAATGGGGAAAATTTTAAATGTAGATGATAAATGCCCACTGATTCCTTTTTTCCAGTGTGAAGAAATGTTACATGCATGACACGTCCGATCCATAAAGGCATATTTTCAAAGCCACGTTCAGGTGCTATTTTCTTAACCAGAGCCCAGACATCCCTTCAGCGTCGGTATCTCTGTGGGTGTTAGGTGCTGGGGCAGGATTCCAGGGGCCAAAGCTTTCCCACAGACCCCAACTGCCTGTTCTGGGCGGCTTCGAGAATCCAGCAGGGAAATCACGGGCCCGCCTTGTCAGCATGCCCAGCCCTAGCAGTGTGCAAGGGTCCTTCGGAAGATTCCAGAATCTGCCCTTTGAAGCATCTCTTCCGAAAGTAGCAGAGTATTGAGCTGCTCATATGCTCATATTCTCTGATTCTTGGCCACTAACAAGGGAGATGGGAGCTTAGCATGTGTGTCCTAGAAGAGGACAGACGCCTGTCTTTCCTCACTGCACCACCAGGGCCTGGAGGGCCAGGCTGCACAGGCCCAGTCAGCCCAGCTGCCTTCATGAAAACCTGAGGCACCATTATCCAGGGAGGAAGACCACCACTGTCCTGGTTGAATCCTCTCCTGCTGCTGAGTGGAGATCTACCACAACTATCCTTCCTGGGACCTAACCCCCTTCGAGCCAGCGGCAAAGAACTCATTCTTTTCGGGGGATAAGTTTATTGCCTGCAGAGTTTTAACACAAATAGGCCAACGCTAAATTGGTTAACGCCGAAGCTGTCTGATTTCGCAGAGGCGTGACGTGTTTCCTGGGACGATAAGGAGAGATGGGGCCTGGCAGGGGTCTCACCCGACACAGAAGACACAGAATGGGGACTCACACGGCTCCGAGGCTGTCCATCCCTTTAACAGGAAGGAGGCTGGACTACGGGGCTGTGGGGGCTGAGGACAGCAAGGGTGCTGGAAATCCCAGGAGAGGGTTGTACGGTGGGACGGGGTGGGCGGGGACTCCGTAAGTAGTCGCTGTAGTGATTAAGGTAACAAGGCTGATTTTTTACAAATGCCATTTCACTGGAGGACACATGAGTGACTATAAAGCTCCAACAGTTGCCGGGTGAGCAGGGATTTCAGCCTCCTAGGCGCTGCTGTGAGAAGCAGGCCGTGCGGGCAGATGCTCTTGGTGCGGAACCCGGACAGTGAGGCTGATGGCGAGGAAGGAAGAGCCGAGCACGTCTGCGAGGCTGCGGGAGCCGTCTGCCTGCCAGCGTCGAATCCAGAGGACATTTCAAATAGCTGCGCTCCCCTCTGACTCAGGCGGACCCTCTCTCCTGCAGAATGTTGCAACTGTCTTCCCCCTTTTACCGTTTTAATTGCTGCTCTCTCTTCCATTAGAGGAGATACCCTGGGAGGGCAGAGTTTTCTATCGTAACAGTGAGCTATCTGGTACACGTAGGTGGCTCAGTTGGTTAAGCGGCGGACCTGTGGTTTTGGCTCAGGGCATGATCTCATGGTTCCTGGGTTCAAGCCCCACATCAGGGCTCTCCACTCTCAGGGTGGGATTCTCTGCGCCCCCCTCTCCCTGCCCCTTCCTCTCCATCTCTCAAAAAAAAAAAACAAACCACACACGACAGATGACATGAGTTCATAGCTTTAGTGCTCACAGTGGTGTCTGTCACAGAGTAAAAGTGTCAACTAAAGTAAATAAGCAATAACTATGAACTGGCCTGTTCACTCTAAATACTGGAAGTAGATTCTTAGCTTTTCAAATCAAGCTTCAGATCTTACTGGGGAAGGAAATCATTAATGCCTTGGTAAAACCAAGGTTAAAGTATTAGCAGTCAAGAAGGATTCTTATGTGGTATTCTAATTGCGAATTAAAAATTTATTGGGGCGCCTGGGTGGCGCAGTCGGTTAAGCGTCCGACTTCAACCAGGTCACGATCTCACGGTCCGTGAGTTCGAGCCCCGCGTCGGGCTCTGGGCTGATGGCTCAGAGCCTGGAGCCTGTTTCCGATTCTGTGTCTCCCTCTCTCTCTGCCCCTCGCCCGTTCATGCTCTGTCTCTCTCTGTCCCAAAAATAAATAAACGTTGAAAAAAAAAATTAAAAAAAAAAAAATTTATTAGGACACACAGGCATGCCGGTAATGAACGAGAAGTCACAAAGGCTTTGCAAAGAGTGTGGACCCGTGTCTGCCGAGATAAGGGCAGAGTAGGCTCCTATCTACCCTCCCGCTGTGAGGCAGTTAATTGAAACACCAGTGTGATATCTCAGAAGTGACACGGATCCTTCCTGCCTTGTGTATGCAGAGCAAGGAACACCAGCTTGATGGCTTTGCACCTGATGATGAAGAATGACTCAATTTCCCTCCGTCTCTTTCCAGAACTAGTGCATCAGCTGTGAGGACGGCCAGATGGTCTGCCCTAGGAGCAGGCGGCAGCCACCTGTTCCATTAAGGAGTAATTGTCGTGCCACCCACAGAACCCACCATGAGTCTTCGTAAACCAAGGCACTTGATTCCACGGGGAATGCCAAGAGCTACCGTTCACAGCGATTTCTACATGAAGACATTAGAAGGGCTCGGTTACCACTTAATGATGACCATTATCCCCTGAAAACATCAGAAATAAAAAGCCTAGAGTTGGATCCTTCTGGAACATATGCACCCACACCATGAACGGCTGGGGGAAGAACCCAATCGTGACATTCTTCTCGCCCCAGAAGAGGTGAGGCTCAGTGACCCTCGAAACAGTGCCACGGGCCTGAGGACCCCGAGGTGCCTGGGACCGTGCTCACCCTTGGACCCCGGCATGATTCCCGCTGCTGTTTCAACACCTGGCTGGGCAGCGGTGGGCAGCGGCACGCCCATGCTGATGCTAAAGGGCTTCTCAGCCCCGACAGGCCGGCCGGCATTGGCCAAGCCCTCCCCTGCCTCGCCCTCCACGTGCCCTCCCGTCAAGCTGGAACAGTCCAACAGCATTCGGCAAACACCGCGTGGGAACACCTGTGTGCCAGGCCCTTTGCAGGGCTGGGGGTGGGGGCACCAGGGAGGAGGCGACACAGACCAGCGACCCTCACAAGGCCGGAGCGGGTTAAACAACAGAGGAGATACGAACGGCATGTGTACAGTGAGCGGGTGCCCGAAAGAGGGCCGGGGTCTTTGGGACAGTAATGTGTAGAAGGCGCACAGCCTATGGCAGCCCTGTCGTGAGGGGCTGTGCGTAACGGGAACTACACGAGGGACGGGACGTCCGCGGCCAGCACCGTCGGGGGAGGGGGGGACAGGCAGAGGTGGGAGGGTCGTGCAGGAGGCTGGACGGGACGACGTGCCGGGAGCAGCCATGGGACCGGCCACTAGAGTCGTGGGCCCTCGACTGTCGTGTCTGAGAGCCCCCGAGGCACCGCGGTTCGGGTGGCGTGGTGGATCCCAGACCCGAGGCAGGAGGCCCCGCGGTGCTGCCCTGGGACAGGAACACAGTGCTGGGTGCCCGGTCCTCCTCCCCGGCCCAGGCCAGCACCTGCTTCGACCAGGCTTGGGCCCAAAGGGTCACTGGCTTAGGGTCACGTCCATTGTCCCCGGGGCTTTTGGGAGTGTCTGGGAAACACACTCCTTTAGTAAGAAGAGCGTTTCTCCAAACTCAGACCTCACCGAACTAAAGGGAAGAGCAGGGCTGGGGTGGCTGCGACCGGAGAGGAAGGGAGCACCCTCGGTCCTGCTGCCCTGCTCCCTGGCCCCCGGGGGGCCACCACGCTGGCATCTGGCACGTGTTGTCTCTGCGTACATAATACGTCGTCGTGCTGGGCCCGTGACGTGGCGTGCTTATTCGACCCGCTTTTACCGATGGGGAGGGGGCGGGGGCAAGTGTCTGCAGCTGGGTTAGGCTGGGGGGTGGGGGAGATGGCGAGGAGGACTGCCCTGCGGGCACCCCTTAACCTTCCCGCCCCTCTCGCTCCAAGTTCCCCAGAAGCTTTACTTCCATCAAGGGTGAACCCCTCACGGAAACGCAACATGTCTGCAACCAGCGACACCTACAAACGGCGGCCACACGCCGTCCGGGGACGTGCTCGTGGGGGTGGGGGCCGCTCTGAGGAGGGGAATTCAGAGAAGGAAGCAGCCCCTAGGAGAGAGGAGGAGACACAGACACAGGGACGGTGCCCAGCGGCACCTGCCCGCCTCCACTCCCTCTAGAATCACCACAGATGGTCTCCCTGTGCTTGTCGCCAAATGTTTTGTTTTGTGTAATGTTCGCATTGTCCCGAGTCCTTTGGTGGAGGGGGCGGAGAGACTCGAATCTCAGACAAGCAGAGACACACATCGGGACCAGGAGCCTGGGGTCCCAGGAGCGGCTTGCACACGGCACACCAACCCCCGTCACCACAGAGGATGCACAGGGGAGACGGGCCCTTCCCGGGGCGACGGTTGCGAGGCCAAGAAGCCAACGTAAATAAATGGCCTGCACTTGGGGGTGAGCTTTTTCTACTTACTGGAACAAATGTATTCTGCGAGCTTTTCTGCATTTCCACAGCTCTCTCCTTCTGCGTCCAGGCCGATTTTATTCACTGGAAAACAACCAAGAAATGCACGTTTTCACATGGCCGTCGAAGACCTCTGTTCCCGTGTTGTTGATGTGCGAATACAAAGGCACGTGCTTTACGAATCACAGAGAAAGTCTCTCCTGAAGGCTGGTACCAGAGGCCCACGGGCACTGTCAGAGGTGAGGGTGCTGGGTCCTGGCCCCACCTTTCCTGGACGTGTGACTTTGGGTCACGCCCCCATTCCTCTGCACCCCACTGAGCTCATCTACCAGACAAGACGCCAGCCACGTGGGACCCGCTTTAAGGAATCCAGGAGAGGGTGGGAGCAGACCGCGGCCAGACTGAAATGGAAGGGATGGCGGGAGAGGTTTCATAGTGACCCGCCGACGGGGACCCACGGCACCGCGAATGCGGGTCATCTGGGGTGAGGGGCAGCCCAGCTGCTTTGAGAGACCGCTGTCACGAAGGGAGCAGAAGCAGACACCCAGGCTCCCCCCGCCCTTTGCCACGCGGGGAACACTGGCCACCGCGGAGGATGCTGATATAGGAAGGGCCAAGGGCACAGCTCCGTCAGCTCCCACTACCTGTTCACAGGGTGTGGGCCTTCCCGGACATGGGTGCTGTGGGCTTTCCACTTAGGCCACGAACTGCAGCTTTAATGTAAGCACCATCAGCTTTTAATTTACAGGTCATTTCAAGTGTCCTGAGTCCGGGGGACAAAAGTCACATGCAGCTGTGAACTCTGTTCAGGAACAGAGCCCCTCTGAATGCTGCACGGCCAGCCCAGGCTGGGCCACCTCCTCTGATTGAACTGGGGAGGTCTCGGTTCACCAAAAACCCTGAAAACCTCCCAGGAAGTGAACTGGGACATAAGTACTTAGTGTCGACATTCATACGCTTTCTTCCTGAGTTGACTAGACAAGAGGAACCAGACCCAGAACCTGGCCCCGCCTGGCTGTGCGGAGCGAGGCCTGATGCATTTCGTCCCCACACAACCCTGGGACGTCTGGTCCCAAGAGGAGGCAGCTGGGACCCTGAGCTGTCCAGCGCCTGTCCTCTCTGTCTCTGTGAGCACAGGGACTGGGCTGTGTGGCCTGCCTGCAGCCCACAGGGGCTCTCAGTAAAGATTGGGTGGGGAGGCGCCTGGGTGGCTCAGTTGGTTAAGTGTCCAACTCCCGATTTCGACTCAGGTCATGATCCCACGGTTCGTGGGTTCGTGAGATTGAGCCCCACATCAGCCTCTGTGCTGACAGTGTGGAACCTACTTGGTATTGCCTCTCTCCCTCTCTCTCTCTGCCCCTCCTGTGCTCTCTTTCCCTCTCTCAAAATGAACTAAAAAAAAAAAAAATTAGGGGAATGAATGTTTGCCAGAAGGTCTCAACCCCTGAGGCGGCAGGGCTGGCTCAGCTGTCAGGCCTACGAGCGTCACAGCCAGCAGCCGGGCCAGGCAAGGCCACCTTCAGGGCCTCCCCAGGTGACAGGGACAGTGCAGCTTAAGCTTATTCACAGCGGGGGTGGAACAAGCCAGTTTGATCCCGGACAAACCTGCCATCATGTTGTTTACATTTAGGAGGTTGAGGCAAGGACTGCCACAGCGCATCCAGTCTTGGGGGCGGGGGGGGCTCTTGTAAACCAGGGGGTGAGCCCCCCCTGCTGGCAGAGGCCTATGGCGAAAGGTACCGTGTGGTTATGTGAAGGTAAGACAATTCTTAGTGTGAAAACACATCCGTAAGAGTCAGCACATGGGCTTTGAAGACATTTTAACAAGGTTAGGGGTAAGAAGACCTCAGTATTCTCCCAGAATGAGTGGGAAAACAGAGCAATGAAAAATACTAAAAAAAACAGATAGGGTTTAAAAGTGGAAGGACGTGTGCGTGCTTAGGCCAGTGGGTCATGGTGGCTTTGGAAAATGCAGTCAGGGATTTGAACGATGTCTGTACCACTTGCTTTTCTTTTTTTTTACACGTTTGTTTTTAGAGCTTATTTATTTATTTTGAGAGAGAGAGAGAGAGCATGAGTGGAGAAGAGGCAGAGACGGAGACAGAGAATCCCAAGCAGGCTCTGCACTGGTAGCAAAGAGCCCGATGCGGGGCTCAGTCCCACGAACCACGAGAACGTGACCTGAGCCGAGATCAAGAGTCAGATGCTTCATCAACCGGGCCACCCAGGCACCCCATCTGTACCACTTTTGAGGCGTGTGACTGGTAAATCACACCTCCTCTCTTAGGCTTGGTTTTTTTAAGTCAGGAAAATGGGCTTAGTAAGACCTTCCTTGTGAAAAGACATACATAAAGTGCACGGCGCAGTGCCTGACGTGCGACGGGGACGCAGAAATGGCAGTAGGACTTACACGAGTAGGTGTAGACGGTAATTCTTTCCGACGGTGCACATACACACCTCAGAGTGAAGTTACCTTACACAGCGTCTGTCCGAGTCCTGAGTTGTTCAGTGCTAAGCTGTGTTCCACGGAGGAATTGTTCTGGGTCGACAAGGCCAAGTAATGAGGGCCACTCAGTGGCTCCCAGGTACCAGACTGGCAGTCAGATGGGGGAGCTAGGGGACCCCACTTCTGGGCGGCCAGGGAGGCGGCTTCCCCCCAGGGAGGCCGGCTGACCCGCAGGGGATCAGCCCGCAGCCAACCAATGCTGCTTTTTCGATACACATGGAAATCTTATTAAAATAAGCAGAAACTTTCCAACCAAAGTGACGTTCTCAGAGGTTTTATGCAGACCAACAACAGACTTACAAAATAGTCTCCATCTATTAGTAGTTAATAATTTCTACAGGATTGTGAGTCAAGTCAGTATTTATGAAGAGACACAGACACGTTTCCCTGATGGACCTTAACTACTTGCTGCTCACTGGACCCGGTTTCCATTTCCACTGTGAGACACATCCCTACCTTTCCGTCTCCTGCCCTGATCCACAGCTTCTGGGGGAGCCAGAGGGGCTCCTGTGAAAAGGCTCCCAGTCACCTCGGTGCTCACACCCCTGTGGCATCCCCTCCCCTTGGGTGTGGGCTGGACTGACTCCATTCACACAAAAGGAAGGTGGCAGAAGGGAGATAGTGTCACTTGCAAGCCTGATTATGGAAAGACTGGCTTCTGGCTTGGATGCTCTCTTTCACTGGCTCTTGGACTGTCTCACAGCAGGGCCGGGAGGTAGCCCTTTAGAGAGGACCACGTGAGGGCTGGGGGGTGGATCCACGTGCAGGGTCTTGGAAGCAGAGCCCCCGAGTCAAGCTTCGAGGTGTCTGCGGCCTGGTGACAGACACTGAGCCGGAGGGACCCAACTAAGCCATTCCCAGATTTCTGCCTCAAGGAAACGGTGAGCAATTAGATGCTTGTTGTTTCTAGCCACTACGTTTTGGGGCAATGGGTTACGCAGCAGATGATGACTAACACACGGGCCTGGATTCCTCCGGCTGTCAGTGTTTAACGTCCTCTAACTCTCCAGTCTCTTGGCTGAGCCTCAGGATCAACAGAAACATCCAGGCATTCAAGGAAGTCCTCTTCCCTGCACCTGCCAGAGAGAGCTCCTTGTGCACATTGTGTCTGCAAAGTGAACTAAGAAGGTTCCAAAATTGGGTGATTGACTTTCATGTTAAGACCGATTGGTTTCTCCAAAGAGATTTTTTTTCCCTTCTCTTTCAAAGTAATCTCTGCGCCCAGTGTGGGGCCCAACAGAGCCGGCCAGGGTCTCCTCTCCCAGGAGATTTTTTTTACAGCTGCGAAATTCGAATTACATCTCTCCTCTGGTCATAATGTTTCTAGCATTTAGAACGCGCCCTTTTCCTTCACAGCTGAATGAACAGGGAGCAGGCTGGGGCCAGCGGGTCCCCATCGGACCAGGCCCTGCTGCCTGGGCCACACGGGATGCTGGCGCACGCCTGCCAGCTCCGTCTCGGCTTTCTCTTCCCGTGTCACCGCTTCCGCTGTGGGGTTTTCTTCTCACTTGACAGAACAGTGAGATGCAAAGCACGAGACCAGACTGAAGGCAGCACAAGAATCAAAATGGAACAATTTACAAACACACTGTCTTTGATGGTCAGAAATTGCCCCTATGATTTGCTTCCCTCTTCTACTTCAGAAAACAGCGAAAGGAGGAGCAAGCCAAGTCTTAACTGATTTGGGGGGGGGGAGTGGGGGCGGTTTCCTTGGCAACCAAGGCCTGACTCCCCCTCTGCTGATCTGCAGGGCTCCCAGGCGCAGGTTGCACTGTACTGAAAAGCTAAGCATCAGCTCTTAATTAGACAGGCAGCTCGCAGCTGGTGTCCGCCTTACGTCATTTTGTTCTCTGGAAAGAGGGCTTTTCATTTTTAAACTACTTTCACTCATGCCGCAACTTCCCCCAGTGTTTCAAAATTCATTTGGACAAACTGAACTGTTTTGCAACAAAGCTGTACATTGATTTACTCATAATTGCTAAGCATTGTTTAATGCTTTAAAAAAAAATTTTTTTTTAAACGTTTATTTATTATTGAGAGACAGAAAGACACAGAGCATGAGCAGGGGACGGGCAGAGAGAGAGAGGGAGACGCAGAATCCGAAGCAGGCTCCAGGCTCTGAGCTGTCAGCACAGAGCCTGACACGGGGCTCGAGCTCATGAACTGTGAGATCATGACCTGAGCTGAAGTTGGTCACTTAACCAACTGAGCCACCCGGGCACCCCTAATGCTTACTTTAAAAAAAGTTTTTTTAACGTCTATTTATTTTTGAGAGAGAGAGGGACAGAGAGAGAGGGAGACACAGAATCCGAAGCAGGCTCTAGGCTCTGAGCTGTCAGCACAGAGCCTAATGTGGGGCTCAAACTCTCGACAATGAAATCATGACCTGAGCCGAAGATGTATGCTTAACCGACGGAGCCACCCGGGTGCCCCAAATGCTTAATTTTTATGTTCATTTGTAAGGTTGACTTTTAATGATTCACTGTTTACCTCTGTGCTTTAAAAATAACATATGGGGTACCCAGGCGGCTCAGTCATGATCTCAAGACTCGTGAGTTCGAGCCCTCCGTCGGGCTCCGTGCTGACAGCTCGCAGCCTGGAGCCGATTTCAGATTCTGTGTCTCCCTCTCTCTCTGCCCCTCCCCCAGTCACACTCTGTGTCTCTCTCCTTCAAAAATAAACATTAAAATTTTTTTTTAAATAACAATTTCAAGACTGGATAATGTTGAAAGTATTTTAAAAATGATAAAAACCATTGTAATACCACCATCTGGAGATAAATACCTTTAATGTTTGGCTATTTCCTTTCAGGTTTTGTTCTTACGGTAGTAAAAATACATAACATAGAATTTACCATTTTAACCATTTGTAAGTGTATAACTCAGTGGCATTAAGTACATTCACAACCACCACCAGTATCCACTTACAGAACTTCTTCATCCTCCCAAATAGAAACTCTACACCAAATTAAACAATAATTTCCTACTTCCCCTGACTCAGGCCTTGCAAACCTCTACTGTACCTTTGGTCTCTTTGAGTTTGACTGCTCTATGAGCCTCATATAAGTGGAATCATACGGCATCGTTATCTTTTTGCATCTGGCTCATTTCACTTAGTGCAATGTTTTCAAGGTTCTTCCATATTGTAGCATATGTCAGAGTTTCCTTCCTTTTTTTTTTTTTTTAATGTTTATTTTTGAGAGAGAGAGAGAGAGAGAGCTCGAAAAAGGGAGGGACAGGAAGAGAGGGAGACAGAGGATCCAAAGCCACAGTGTGGGGCTCAAACTCATGAACCATGATCACAACCTGAGCCAATGCCAGACATTTAAACCAACAGAACCACCCCGGCACCCTTCCCTGCTTTTTATGTCTGCGTGATGTTCTATGGCCTGCATATGCCACATTTTATCTCTCCATTTATCTGTCAGTAGATATTTGGGTTGTTTCCACCTTTTGCCTGTTGTGACTGATTTGGTTATGAACATTACATACTCCGGCAAGTATCTCCGTGAGGCCCTGCTCCTTTCAGGCTCCTTGGAGGATAGAGAGGACTCTCTGGTATAGTATAGTCCCTGCATTTTTTGATTAAAGTGAAATTATATCAGATATCTATCTGTATTGCTTCCTGCTTTTTCCTTAATGTTATATACTGTATCTTTCCTATGCTATAAAAATCCTTCAAAATCATTTAAAAAGACCCCCTAGCCTCTCTGCTCCCCCCCTCTCCTTTTGAACATTTCGGTCCGAAGGACCTTAGGTGGAGCAGAGTAATGTGAGTGTCATTGTGGAGGAGTGACCAATGTGGGGTGTCAGAAACCCTGTGAGGGTGGGGCCAGGGGAGACTGATTCCTTACAGGGACACCGGTCAAATAGGTAAATGTATTAGGTTTTTCCCTGTCAGAGATGGGGGCCACAAATATAGAAGTGAAAGACCCAGAATAAGCCCTGTGGTGTCGGACTGTAATTGAAGGTGGTGGAATAAACTCATGGTTTCCAATATAAATGAGTATATGTGAACATTGGGATGTGTGTGTGTGTAAAATTATGTATTCCCTGTCTCTGTGTGCTGAAAATGACTATGAGCAGTAAAGTCCAAGGGTGATGAATACACTGAGCAGCCACATGACGGCTTCTAAATACCCTCTCCACTAATAGGAACCCTGGTTCTTAGGGAAAATGCTTGATTTCAGGGCTGTGACAGGAAAGACAGAACATACCAGGAACATCTTTTTGCACCAGCAAAGGAGGAAGTATTCAAAGAACGATGGGACATGCCAAAAGGACACAGAAGTCACCTTAAAGGGGTTGCCAATGGCCACATCAGGGATAATGTGAGCAATAAAATAAATAGACTTAGTAATGGGTTGTAATCTTTAAACGAGGAAACCACGAATCCATACTGATATAAATAAGTAATTGAATAAATTGAAAGTGTGATGACAATTAATCAGGGGCACCTGACCGGCTCAATAGGTACAACATGTGACTCTTCATCTTGGAGTTGTGAGCCCAAGCCCCACATTGGGTGTAGAGACTACTCAAGAAAAAAAGAAAGAAAGAAAGAATACATTATCATACATTCTCAAAGTACCTCCCCACAAAGCACTTATTAATTTCAAGGGGAAAAACAGTAGCTTCACAGTGGAGAAGCCTCACATCACCTAAATCAAGGGATGACAAAGGACATTCCCAGTAAGAGAGCAAATTGGAATGATGGGTAAGCGTCAAGGAGAAAAACAGCATCGCTTGTGATATTCCTGCCAGACATATATAACCTGAATGAATGTAATGATGAGAAAAATATCAGACAAACCTGAATTGGGGGACCGTCTACAAAACAAATGGTCTGTACTCTGAAAGTGTCAAGGTCACAAAGCCAAAGACAGATGGAGGCATCGTTTCAACCTGCAGGAAACTAACAAGACCTGACGAGATGTATGACGTGATTCTGAACTTAACCCTTCAGCTATGAGAGATGTTAGTGAGAATTAGGAGGTACCAATATATGTGTGTTAATTTCTTAAATTTGATGGTTGTGGCTATACAGAAATGTCTTTGTGGGGAATCTACACTCAAATATTTGCAGGTGATGGGGGCATCATGTTGGCAACTTACTCTCCAGGAGTCCAGGAAAGACTGAGTTCTTTGTATTGTAAGTTTTCTATAAATTTCCTTCCAAATAAAAAGTATGTAAAAGAAGAAGCTACATAATCATCACATAAATGATTACTGTTTCCCTATTGGGGGCTTTCCTTTTTTCATGACTATAACTAATGCTAGGATATAGTCTCATATAAAAACCACTTCAAGGGTACCTGAGTGGCTCAGTCGGTTGAGCGTCCGACTTCAGGTCAGGTCATGATCTCACAGCTCATGAGTTCGAGCTCCACGTTGGTTTCCGTGCTGACAGCTCGGAGCCTGGAGCCTGCTTCAGATTTTGTGTCTCCCTCTCTCTCTGCCCCTCCCACACTCATGCTCTGTCTCTCTCTCCGTCAAAAATAAACATTAAAAAAATAATAATAAAAATAAAAACACTTAATTTCTATTTTGGATTATTACCTTTGTCTAGATTTATCAGAAAAGGGATTAGTGGGCCAAAGGGTACAAACCTTGTAATAGAGCTTTTAAAATTTTTTCTTATTTCTTAAAGATTTTATTTTATGGGTGGGGGGATGGGCTAAATGGGTGATGGGCATTAAACTTGCTGGGATGAGCACTGGGTGTTATATGTAAGTGATAAATCACTAAATTCTATTCCTGAAATCATTATTGCGTCATATGTTAAGTAACTTGGGTTTAAATTTAAAAAAAGAAATTTAGTTAAATTGAAAAAAAAATGAATTTCAATATGGGGACAAACCCAATGCAGAACGCTGTGTGAGTTTATAGGGTCCTGCCCTGAACCCACTACATAAGCCTAGTCAGAGTTTTCTGGAGCCAGGGTACCATGCCTCTTAAGCCGATAACTTAGGCACCAATGAAAAATTCAAAATTTCCATTGTCATAGAACTTAAGAACTACAGTGAATAAATATTTAATAACTGGAAAAAAAAGATTTTACTTCATTTTTTTAAAGTAAGCTCTATGCCCAACATGGGGCTTGAACTTACAACCCTGAGATCAAGAGTCCCATGCTCTACCTACTGAGCCAGCCAGGTGCCAATGTAATAGAGCTTTTGATACATACTGATCAAGTATTTCTGAAAACATATGAACCAATTCTCAATGCTACTTAGCAATATTTGAATATATTTGTTTCACTGTACCCTTACCAGTGGCATTCTATACTTAACTAGTTATTTGTAAATTTAATAAGCAAAAAATCGTATTTTGAACTATAGTGTTTTTTTGTGTTTTTTTTTTTTTTTTTTTTTTTTTTTTTTTTTTTTTTTTTTTTTTTTTTTTTTTTTTTTTTTTAAATAAACAAGGCTAAGTCATTGCGGAATGAAAAACCCTTGGTTTTCTCTCCTGTACTCTCTGCTACTACCATAGTCATGCTTTGGTACTCTGGTTAGCGAATGTGGGTTGGGTTGGATCATTTGCTCACAGAACTCAGGCAAATGGTTTGCTAACTATTGCCCACTTATTACAAAGGATATTTCAAAGGACACAAATGGAAGAGATGCGCAGAGCAAGGGGGGCGGGTGCAGAGTGCTTCCACACCCCCTCCAGGTGCACCACCCTCCCAGCACCTGTCTGGGGCACCATCCTTTTGGGTTTTATGAAGGTTTCATTACACAGGCACGATGAATTATATCACTGGTCGCTGATGATTAACTCAACCTCCAGTCCCACTCTCCTCCTTGGAGGTGGGGGAGACAGGAGACCACCCTCTTTAATCCCAAGGTTGGTTCCCCTGGCAACCAGCCCCCCCATCCTTTGCAGTTTTCCAAAAGCCACCTCATTAATATAAACTCAGGTGTAACTGAAAGAGGTCTGTTATGAATAACTTCATCTTTCTTATCACTTAGCAAATACCAAGGGTTAAAACCTCCTAAAGGAGCTTTGTGCCAGGTACTGGGACAAAGACCAACAAATATATAATATCGCAATAATTCTGTGGTGTTTTACCTTTACCTGGATTGCTTACCTAGAGAAGAGGTAGCACTTCCAACCACGTACACTGACTTAGCATTCCACTTTTCTTTCAGAGAGTGTTTCCAGACTGTAAAACATGGAATGATATGTGAGCTGCAGATATCATGGTGGCCATTTGCACTGTTGCCCGAGGCTGCCTGTTCATCCTAAGACACTTGTGAACAAGGCAAACTATTAATGACCAAATATAAAGAGAAGCATCTCAAACTAAAATTCCATTTTATTCTGTTCGTATTCAGCAGGCAAATTTTTAAAAATCACCTTGGTAAATGTTTCAGTATGCCTTGAGTAAAATATTAACTCGTTTCCACAGTTGGCACTAGAAGCATTTTTAGTGTGTACCAGAGAACAAATATGACTTGAAGAATTGATTTGAAGGGTGACATTAAAAATTTAAAATCCAGGGGTGCCTGGGTAGCTGGGTAGGTTGGGTGTCTGACTCTTGATTTTGGCTGAGGTCATGATCCCAGGGTCGTGGGATGCTCTCTTTCCCTCCTTCTCCTCCCTTACTCACAGATTCTCTCTCTTTATCTCTCTCTAATGAAAAATTTTTTTAATGTAAAAATCTAGACTTACAGTTAATAAAAAAAATTTTTATTAGTCACATCTACACCCAACTTGGGGCTCAAACTCATGACCTTGAGATCAAGAGTCGCATGCTCTTCTGAATGAACCAGCCCCTAAAAATTTAGACATCTAAAGAAAAAGTCACTGGTCATTGAAAGGTGGCAACTTAATATCTAATAAAGCAATACAACTGGTTTTATTTGGGACCTAAATCTAGAGGCAGTCAAGAAGCTGTGATCTCCGAGGAGAGGACTCATGTTTCCACTAGGTCAAAGAAAGATAATAAGTTTCAAGTTCATAGCAGACACGCTTTAATGGAGAACACTACCATTTTACGACAAAAACAAACATCTCTAAATGTGGATTAAAGACCTACAAAGAGAAAATGGGTTCAATATTGAGCAGTGTTCAGTATCGAACACTTTTTTAGAAGACAAGAAAATATGCGCTCTCCCTTCTTAGAATCCAGTTATGAGCAGAACTCTCCCTTATATTTAAGTGTGACACAACCCTTTGCACTCCCATTGGAAATCTCCTTTTCTTTTATTTACCTCTTTTTAAAGGTTTTTATTTTTTTTTAAGTAATCTCTACACCCAGCATGGGGCTTGAATTTACACCCCACTGTCGAGTTGGATATGCTCTACCGACTGAGCTGGCCAGGTGCCCTGGGGGTAATTTCTTTTGAAAAAGTAACCGGAGATTGAGTTTCACCTTCTTTCCTCCCCGACCCACGTAAATAATATTTATCTGAAAATTACCTATCGCATGTGAGCAAACCATTCTCCGAGCCTCGTAGCTGATATTTCTCTTTAGCAGGAGGTGAATGTGTATACACCATCAAGAAGGTGATTTTTTAGCTTATAACGGAAGCCTAATTAACTGTAGAGAGACAATAACCATTCACCATTGCCACTTATTCCCCACTAGCCTGCCATGTGCCAGGCAACATCCTGAATGCTTCTTTTTGGGACTCAGACTGGTAGCTGGAATCACCAGTCTACAACTTACAGACCCTGTGGTCTTGGCAAGTTTCATACCCGCTGCTCTTCAAGCTCTGGTGAGTCATATCTACCTCAGGGTAAAGCATTTAGTATGGGGTCTGGCACAGAGAAGGCACTTGGTAAGTTTAGCTAGCTAGTAGTTAGAAGTGATGATCCTGGGGGCACCTGGGTGGCTCAGTCAGTTGAGCATTTGACTTCAGCTCAGGTCATGATCTTGCATTCATGGGTTCAAACCCCACATCAAGCTCTGTGCAGACAGCTTGGAGCCTGGAGCCTACTTTGGATTCTGTGTCTCCCTCTCTCTCTGCCCCTCCCCTGCTCGTGCTCTCTCTCTCTCTCTCTGTCTCTCAAAAAATAAAACTAGGGGCGCCTGGGTGGCGCAGTCGGTTAAGCGTCCGACTTCAGCCAGGTCACGATCTCGCGGTCTGTGAGTTCGAGCCCCGCGTCGGGCTCTGGGCTGATGGCTCGGAGCCTGGAGCCTGTTTCCGATTCTGTGTCTCCCTCTCTCTCTGCCCCTCCCCCGTTCATGCTCTGTCTCTCTCTGTCCCAAAAATAAATAAAAAACGTTGAAAAAAAAATTAAAAATAAAATAAAATAAAATAAAACTAAAACGTTAAAAAATTAAAAAAAAAAAAGAGAAGTGATGATCCTGGGATGGAAGGATTATTTATTATGCCCACTTTACAGACAAGGAAAGCAAGGCTCAGTGAGGTCAAGGAACTCGCCAAGGTCAGAGTGGCCATCTGAACCCAGGCCTAACTTGCCGCAAAGCCATTCTGTAATGACCCCTGACTGCTGCCTCCACTGCTTAGAATAACTAGGGCTGGTCACGCCTGGGTCTGAAGCCTGGCTGTGCACCGACTGGTTCCATGGCCTTGGACAAGCGCTTCCCAAGCCTCAGCTTTGTCATCTGTAAAACAGGACCACCATACATATGCCTCTGGCCAGCAGTCTAGTGATAAATGAGGTAACAAATGGAAAGTATTTAACAGGGCCTGGTATGCATTAGGCGTTCCACAAATGTTGGCCACAAAGTGGTCTGACTGCAAAGACTAACATGGCTGTTCAGTCTGAAACCTGGGCCCTGTTCACATGTACTGATGGCGAGAGGAGGTAGGAAGAGGGGTTTAAGGGATGGTCCTGTCATTAAGTGCCTGGCATGCACGGACCATTTTCTCAAAGTTGTTGGGTCTTCCCATCATCCCCTTGAGGAAAGAGACTGCAACCAGTATATGCTGAGGACAGAGAGGTTCACCTGGCAGGTGAACTACCCAGGGACTGGGGACTTCAGGAGCCAGCCCTGTCACCTGTGTCCCAAAGCAGTATCTGTGACACGGCGCCACTAGGCGTAGCGGTAGAAGGCTACCGGGTTAATGTGTCACTTTGTGTGGGACATTAAGAGTCAGCTTATAAGGAGAAAGGTCATTCTCTGCTTCCTCCAAAGTTTACACGAACGTGAAGTGACTTGGTACCTGAATACTTTTTTGAACTAAAAGTCATTGAGATTTTTCAAACCTGAAGGGCAGCTATTTCTGGAATCTGATATCCCCAGTGGGAAGAATCGGAGTAAAGTCCCGTGGAATTCACAACAGTGTCTCCCCTACCTTTAGGTTTTAGGTTTGTTTTTGTTTTTGTTTTTTGAGAGCAAGAATGCTAGCAGGGGAGGGGGAATGGAGAAGGAGACAGAGAATCCTAAGCAGACTCCACACTCAGAGCTGGAGGCCCATGCGGGACTCGATCCCACGACCTGAGCCAAAATCAAGAGTCAGGTGCTTAACTGACCGAACCACCCAGGTACCCGCCCTCCCCCCACCCCCACTTACCTTCAGTTTTATTGTCTTTCTCCAAACACAGTTCCACTGCTTCCACTGCTCTGGGGCTGGTAAAAATGAGGCCCCCGTAGCCTTCAGGATGAGACAGCTGCACACCAAACAGTAACAGAGGCGTTTTACATAAAGATCAAGTTCAACATTTCCCAGAATTCCAATGTTTTACAAGAATAAATTCCATCCATCCATCCATCCATCCACCCACCCACCCACCCACCCACCCACTGGTCCACTCAGCACCTATTGGGAGCTTACTAAATGCCTGGGACTGTGCACCATTCATGTGAATTCACCATTCATGCACTCAGGCGAATGCAGGTGAATTCACTGTTCATGGCATTTCCCTTGAGCAGCTCACGGTCTAGGGGAGGGACAGGAAAGAGAACTGTAGGGTGGCAGGTATGACAGGTGCAGAGAGGGACAATCTGACCCAGCCCGGGCTTGGGTGGGGTGCAGGCAGGAGGGCAGACTGGACCTGCGTCTGTAATAAAACTGGAATCTTCAAGGGGCAATCTCCAGGCCGAAGCACTGATTTTCAAAGATAATATGATAAAATCTACTAAACATTGCCGTTTTTACCTAGTCTCTCCCTAAAATCTGTGAAAGTACCATGTGAGATGGGTGGGGTTATTTCATCTCATAGATGAAGACAAAGCCTAAGGAGCTGGCCCAAGGTGAGTGGCAGGGCCAGGGCTCAAGGACATGCCTGTGCCCCTCCTCGCTCCGTAGGGGGCTTCATGAGGGCTCTGGAAGGCCCCCAGGGAGCACGCTGGCTGGTGGAGATGGGAGATGACCGTGTGGAAACTCTGGTATCTGTGTGAGCACGAGTCGAAGACGTGATCTCAAGCGATGAGGTCTTTGGTGCCTTTCAGGGCTGCTTATGGAAGAGCATGCCTCTTGGGGCCCCGCTTACATGGTTCCCTTAGCACTCAGCCCAGTGCCTTGGACGGAACAGATGCCAGATGGATGTTTGCCGGGTAAATTACTGAATGAATAATGCAGTATTCGGCCCAAATCAAAAGGAAGAAACAGGCTTCCATACAGAGCTGCTGGCAGGGTTGTGCTGCGCACAGCAGGAGGGGTGACCCTGGCGCTCACACAGGTGTGGGGCCCGGGAGCAGGGCTGGGCACCCCAGTCCCATGGAACCTCCCTGGTTGTGGGCCCGCGTGTCTAGAAAGGAGCTCCGGGGGGGAGGCGCCCCAAAGGCACTCCGCCCCTGGGGCCGGTTGCACACTGATGAGGTGGCCTGAGCACTCAGTCTTTGATCTGAAATGTTTGTGAGTCTTTCCTGAGGCTTTGTCCAGCAGGATCTACGACGGCATCACCGGCAGCAGAGTGGACGCCCTGCGCAGCAGCCTTCTTACTTGCTGGGGGCCTCGGCCGAGTGGCCCAACCTGGGGCCTGGCTCTAAAACGGGATGGTAACACCCATGTGGCGCGTGGTCAGGGCGGGCGGGTGAGTGGGAGGGCAAACTGGAAGGGCCCCACTGCTGAGAGCCCCCTGCAGCCTGCTCTCCCAGCCCCCACAGACCCCACCTCCGGGACAGGGAGGCTTTCTGGTGGGGACTCACGGGCGGTCCAAGAGCCACCTCCCCTGGGGCCAGGTGAGGCTGGGCCACCCGTTTCAAGTTTGCTAGTGAAATGAGGGGATGGTGAAGAAATCCTTCCGGTTTGGGTGGGCAACGATTCTACAGAGACTCAGAAATTATGGTACTCGGACACTGACAGACCTTACCTTCTCAGAAAAACTGGAAAGAGACAAAAACTCAAATGATAAAACAGGGATCAGAGTGGCTTCAAGTCCATATAATCCTAGTTCCTGCAAATACAAGAATATAGTTCTGCATTGGCCAGGGTTGTGTGGAAAATAAGGAAAGGGTCACAGTCACGACTTACTTGGTGTCGGCCCCGTAGAGGGTTAGCAGATACCCCACCACCACCCCTCACCCTCGTAGTAAGACAGTGTTAGGCCTCGTGGGACCAGGAGTCTCAGGCACTTACCCTGATATATGGATCTTGGCCACAGTCATCCTCCTTAGGGTCTTTTAGTAAAAGAACCTTCATTATCGCCTGGCAATCCTTACAGGGTGCTGTGACAGAGCAGGGAGACAGATGGATCCTAATTAGAGCTCAAGGACTCTTCCTGAGCAGTTATCGATGGGACAGAAGCAGGGAAAGAAGGTAATCAACTGCTGGCCGAGGGGACCTGTCCCTCGCCCACAATGACTTAGCGTTCATGTGCTTGTTCCTTCTGAAGACCCTGTCGCTGATAAGGCCAAGGGACAGCATGCTGGCACTTGATATCACTCGGAAAGGCAGATGAAAGCCATTAGGGAAAGCCAGTGTCCGGGCCACACATTTAAGGCTCATAAAGAGAAGCGATGCAAATTTGGGGTTGTATTGTCAATAATAGAGAAATTATTTTAAGGAAATAAACAGTTCTGTTTCAGGGTAAACATACTAAATAGTTCATAAGCTCTTTAGGAAATAATTATATTGACCTTTCTACTTTTCAAATGATGGGTTATAAATGTTGTCAAATATTATGAGAAACCTTTCAAAAGTCATCTAACGACCTGGAAAATAATTCGTTGATATGTATCAAGAGCCTTGTATATTTCATACTCTTCCTTCCTATAATTTCACTTCTAAGAAGAAATACGAAGGCACTACTCATAAATGTGTGCAAAGATTAACATGAAGATGTCCATCCTGGTATTTTTTTTTTTTTTGAGATATAATTGACATAGGACACTGTGTAAATTTGTAAATGTCCGGTGGTTAGCTGTTCATTTGATACATTTCTATACTGCAGTGTGATGACTACAGTAATGGCTTTACCGTGCCTCCTAATTATCTTTTTGTGGTGAGAACAGTTGAGGTGAACTCTCCTGGGAACTCTGAGGTTTATAATACAGTATTGTTGACTATAATCACCATGTTGTGCATTAGGTCTCCAAGACTTACTCCTCTTCTAGTGGTGAGATTGTATCCTAGTATTAACAACGGGAAACAAAGTAAATGTCCAACGTTGAGAGAATGGTACATCATTAGATGAAATCATTAGAAGAGTCATTAATAACTTAATTACATGGATCACCAAGTAATGTTAAAAAAATAGGATGCATGAATAGTGTGACTTTATTGATCTCATATATACATATATATGAAAGAATATGCATCAAAATACTACTAATAATTATTCCTGGGGGGCAGGTTAGGGTGATTGTTTTCTTGTTCACCTCTTTCTGTATTATCCACATTTTTTTTTTTTTTTACAATAGACATTAAATTCTTTTGTATCAAGGCATAGGGTGGGGGTCGAATTTAATATGACTACCCCAAAGGCCTCAAAATAAATGCTGCTGGAGAACTGCGGAATAAATCCTGCCTGAAATGTGGATTACTATCCCGTGAGTAGCATGAGGCCCACCAGTTACTTACTAACCACTATACAAGTGGTTGGTAACAGTCAAACAGCACATATTGTTTCGAGCAGAAATGTGTTAACTTTGAGAGCCATTACTTGTTATTACTGAATAGGTTCCGGAACATTATAATATCTGCGGGGCGTCTTAAGGAAAATCTGGCTCAAAATGAATTGCTTTGTATCTAAGCAACCAACCCTGGGTGAACAAATAATAATTATGAAATCAAGTTCTAATTACTGCTGCCACTGAGCTGTTAGCTACAGAGACTGAGGGAGTAGGCAGGATTGTTTCTATTGTTTCCTGAGGTCGTTTGGAATGTGTCTGTCTTTTGGGAAACCGGGAACCCGCCTTTCTGAGATGGTCATGCTCACGTGTCAGCCCGGCTAGGATCTAGTCCCCATTTATTCACGAGCGCTGACCTAGGTATTTTGGAGACACAATAAAGTCTATCATCAGGTGGCTTTTAGCCAGGGAGATTATCCTAGATGATCTGGGAGGGCCTCCTCCAGTCGGTGGAAGGCCTTAAGGGGCACATCCCCGCCACAGTTGTAGGCTCTGGGGTATGGAACCCCAAGTTTTCAAAGTGTTGCTTTCAGATTCCAGGAGCCAGTCTCTCACAAAAATGTTTCTATGTTGTTCTCAGGCAGTGACACCTGGAATCTGCCTCAGGGGCATTAGGTCTGCATTATTTACTGGGGAAGGGGGAACAAGTTCAAGTACTACCAAGTGCTATAAGGTGATGTAGGAGAGTTGACCGGGTGCTGATAGCTGGTTGCCTCCCCAGGGCCACCTCTGAGATGGCGTCTTAGTTGAGATCAGAATGACAATGGCAGTGAGGAAAACTGTTCCAGTGTCAGGAAGGAGCCGGGCATGTCCCCAGGAGAGAAGGGTAAGCGTGGCTCCAGTGCGAAGGACAAGGTGGACTTGGGCCCCACGAGAAATGGGAATCCACAGACGGGTTGCAGCAGGACCAGAAGCGATGACACTGGTTCGCGCTTTAGAAGGGTCTCTGGCTTCCGTGGCGGGGATGACCACCCAGGACACTGGGCAGTGGCGCCATTAGGAAGCGGCTGGATCGGGGATTCATAGTGAAGACAGAGTTAACAGGGTGCAGTGACATAATTCAGGGTGAAACCATCTGTCCGTGGCCTGATGGTTACCGCTAGGCGAAAAGGTCTTTCTTTGAATCCCACCTAAGCTTGAGGTGTGTTCAATGTAATCCTATCAATGAGGCAACAAATATTTCTAAACAGTTACTGTGTACTAGGCACTGGGGATACAGTATGATTCCTGCCTCATCTTTACTGGAGGATAAAACTGACATTTTACACGTAAAGACGATGACAGAGTCGGTGTAATAAGCGTAATAAGCACGACAAAGAAAAAGTCAAGATGCCACGGAGGCCTAACTGGCCAAGTCTTACTTGGAGTGGCAGGTGTGGCCAAGGTCACCACTGGCTCCCAAATACCCAGTCTGCCCTTTTCTCTCATAGAAATGGACTCCCTTGTTGTTAACAGGGCAGGGCACGTGGTTGCCCCGAATGAAAACGTGCCTGGATGTGGCCTGTTGACTGGGTTCTGGCCCTCAGGACACAAGCGGAGGGCGGGGGGGGGGGGGGGGGGGGGGTGCGAGGCACACACTTTGTGGGTCCTGCCCTTAGCGGGAAGTGCCACGCCCCTACTCTCTCCCCCTGCCTCCCTGCCGGCTGGAATGTGGATGGGAATGTTCTGAACCTTTCCTTGGTCTGGGAGAAGTTGCAGTAATGCCATTCTCTAAACCCTGATGATTGGAGAAAGAAAGCCATTTGGACAGAAGCCATTCCAGGCACAGAAGTCATCCCCCACGTGTAGGGCAGCTGATGCCATGCACACGAGTGCCTGTGGAAACACCTGCACCTCAGCTGCCCCGTGAGCCAGGCCTCCCCCTGGTGACCATTTCCTCTGCTAAGGGCAGTGTCTGTCACCCAGTCCCCAGGCCTTTGCTGCAGATCCTTTGGCTCTGCAGGACCTCTTGGGACTCCCCCTGTCCACTCCCCTCCACCCCCACGCCCTGTAGACCTTTCTCCGAGCCCTGGGATTCTGCCCTGGGCCGAATGTGCTTAATATACAGTGAATGGTACTAGTCAATTAGTGGGGAATCTATTCTCGAAACATGATCAACTTTAATTCTTAAATGACTAAGAAAATGAGCGATGTGTTAGCAGGACTATCTCTGTGCACTTATCAGGTGATGGGCTTCTCACTGAACTTGATGACACGGGGCGCTAGCCGGGCACAGAATCATCAGCAGTGGTTTCTCCGAATGTTGCATTAGAGGTGCTGTGAGCACGGGCAGAGAAGGAATAAGGGTAATAATCTGATTTTTAGTTCTCAAGGCCAGTAGCACAGCTCACGGAATCTCTTAATGGTTATTATCCCAGAGCCATCAATTTTATTACCTAAGACAACCACAGAGAAGGACCCAGAAGAAATATTTTCTCTATTTGCGGTGGGTAGATGGGCTTTGCTTTCGCGTGTCTGCGTTATTAATCTAAGCACTCTGTACCAGAGTGATACTTTTTATTTTCTGTTCTCCCAAACACTGGGTGGGGTCTGCAAAGGATAGGAGAGGCAGCACAGCCTAGGCGTTGGGAGCACAGCCTTGAGAGCCAGCCCGCCTGTCTGTGAATGCCACCTGGCTCTGCCACTTGTCAGCTCAGGGACTCTGGAGGAGTTCTGTCCTCTCTACGGCAGCTTCCTCACCCATGAAACGGGCCGACCTCATCGTTTACATACAACTGAAGCATTCAGTCAGTCTTTGGTGTATGGTAGGTGCTCAGTAAACGTGTTAGTGGCCATTGTTATGTCCTCTGAGTCACTTGGCACCCCGACAGCGTGGTAACGCCGAGGTTTGCCCCACTCAACAGAGGAGAAACAAGATCACATCGTGGGCGGTAAAGCTGGCGTCAGATCCCTTGCCCCCCAGTCCTGTGCCTGCTCTGTGATACCACACTTCCCGCCTCCTGTTACCCTGCAGGAGGAAAGGGCGAGCAGAAATGAGAAAGGGCCAGGAGAAGTAAACCTGTCAATAAGAACCTTCCCACTCCTGTCGAGATCAGATCCAAACTCCCTGATACGACCCAACGAGGCCCGGAGGGTCTCCACTCCCGCCTCTGCACTCCGGCCGCCCCAGACTTCTGTCTCTCGGGCTCGCCCTCCTCAGGGCTTCTTGCGCCAACTCCTACCCGCAGGGCCTGGGTAGGCGTTGGCAGGCGAAGTGGGGAGGCATCCCCTCGGATGCGTTCTGAAGGTGGGGCCAACAGCATTTACTGGGGCTGGTGCAGGGTGGAGGAGAGAGGAGTTGGGTTTATAACCCGAACAGCTGGAGGACGGGAGCCCTGTCGGGGCATGCGAAGGGATGCGGACAAAGATTCATTCGGGACGTACCGTGTTTGAGGATGCCTGTTCCACACCCGTGCGCCTCAGCCCATTCGTTCGTGTGCTGTGAACGACCTACAGGCATGCCTGCGGGCTCGGTCCTCTCGGCCCCTGGGGCAGCTGGCGGGGCCCAGGGCAGCCAGAACCATGGCAGCCCCAGCCAGGGCCGGCCACCTTTACCTGGGAACTGTACACCTCATCTGTTTACCACGATGTGCTGTACGAATGTTAGCATTTACTAGGTCCGCTGCAGTGGTAAACGAGTCGGAGAGTCATGGCACCAAATGCCCAAATGGAGAAACTGGGTAGGCAATCTGGGCTCAGGGGGGAGTCGGGTCAAAGGACAGGGA